AGGTTATCCCTGGTTTTTATTGTTATTTGCTTTGTCCTTTGGTTTTTGAGACAGTCTCTCCCTACATAGCCTTAACTGGCTTGTGAGCCTCCTGCATCAGCCTCCCTGTGCGGAAGTTACAGGTGTGTGCTGCCATGCCTAGCTAAGATAACCTGGTGTTAACAGTGACCTAGTAGCAACTGAGAACTCTCTGAAGAGGTAAGCCCCACTAAGTAAAGGGATTTAAAGGAGCATTCAGTCCTAGAGCCCCTTCTGTTAGTGGAGCTTGAGTTTTGGGTTTATTACCTGTTTTTAAAATAAAAACCACTATTTATTCATACTTCATGATAGACTACCTCATGGCCAGAGCAAGGAATCACTCACTATGTTGTTAGCATTTTTTAGTGATATTAATAAAATAAATAAAATAGGATAGAAATAAGATAAAATAAAAACTAGCACAGTGGAGTTGAACCAGGCAGACAAACAGCAGGAAAAGATCCCAAGAGGAGACACAGAATCAGAGACTCAGTGCTTCCTAGGACTTAGATTCGTGGACTCATTCGTTTCCCTATGAATGTTTCCAGTCTTGGGAGAACTGCTTTTAGGCTTGAAATGTTAGATCACAGTCTTAGGAATGGTTAGAAACACACCACTCTGTATTAGTGGAGGAATCATGCCCTCACTGACTTTTTAAAATCTCAGTAATTACATTTTTATTTAACTAAATTACTTTTGAATTAAATTCTTCCACTAGCATAAGGAAGCAAGTAACTTATTTTAAGATCAGAGGAACCAGCAAAGCTGTTTTTCTGTTTGGAAAATGGGGAGAAGGGAAGAGACTCCTGCTAAAACTTCATGTACCTGTCAAATGAATGTGGACACTGTTATTAACGTCAGGAAAAGCCAAGAGACCAACCTTTTCTCATGAAGACGGTCTGACTCTTTTCATCTCAGTTCTGTAAAGAAGAAAGCAAAAGGTGCCACATTCTCTTAGGATCTGAGACCCTGAGACGCATACTCACAAGACTGTCCATGTGGTCTGTCACATTAGAGCTGAGAGATTGCAGATCTGAAGCTGAAGCAGCTCTTTAGGAAAAGAATCAGCTGTGGATTTGTGGCCTATTTTACATAAACAATATCACTGAATTTTACTTGAGAAATTTAAAAAAATACAGCATTTTTACCTAGAGAGTTTTGGGGGAAATTTTTTAATGAATTGAACATAATTGTTTCTGTATTGTAGATGTCTGACTTTTTAGGTTATGAAGGTGTGGCTTATTATTTTTTTTATAGTATAAAAAAACACAGAAGACCCCAAAATAGTGTTTAGGTAAAATGTTCCTAAAATTACCTATTTAATTCTAGTGAGTCAGCACACTAGTGTGCAGATCTGGGAAAATGGAGCTCCTATCGGCTTCTAAAATATGCCTTCGTATATTACAAACTCAAGATGTCAAATGTCTCTGTTTAGGTGTTTGTCTTAGCTGTATACTTTGAAGGACCTTCATAATACTGTAAGATTCTTAAAGCCTTGGTTCATTTGCAACTTTCTCACATAAAATTCCCCCAAATAATAAGTTTAGGTTATTCCTGTTGGCTTTATGGTCAAACATATATACTAATCAGACTTACACATGATGCTTTTACAAAGTTTGATGTTTTCTTCATATTTCTGAATTTTACAGACCACTGGGATAATTCTCTGTAGCTGAGTGGGAGACTTTCATTAAACAGTAAATGCCTGATAAATCTGGTGTGCATTTTGCTGAGTGTCTACCCTTGAACTTGGAACAGGAATGGGAAGGTGGGAGAGGGCATTACAGTTCTTATCCTCAGCAAGTTCTCTTGGGAAAATTATCACCACTCTGATTTGTTTTGATTTTAGACACATCCACATCTTAGGCCCATCTATGTTTTATATTGGAGTAATCTGTTAAGGTTTCTCTGTTCATCTAGATTATGTAGCTTTCTGATACATAGCTAGTACTTGACTGTTTATTGGGCCCATATTATTCTGTAGAGGAAATATAACAGTACGTGGAATAAGGGTGTTTTTGGTTATTTATTGTGGGAAATTACTTATGTGAGAACCCGAAAACCCAGGTTAGTCTCCGCAGCCTTTCGAGACCCAACCGGAACCCTGCAAGAGAGTGAGCGCCCTCTCCTCAGGCCTTTATTCCACATGCCTGTAGGCACCTGTGACTGTGCCCAAAATGGGCGTGGTTGGAGCCACAGGTACCTACATCTCTCCTTGCACTATTCAGTAAGTATGGATAGGAAGTCTTCACATTTTGTATTGATTTAGTATTAATGTTAGTCTAAAATCTTTGGGTGCAATGTGTCACATCTGTTTTGTATTCCTCTGTTTAAAATAAAAGAAGTAGCAGTATGGAATTTGGAGGAATATTTATTATCTGAGTGGTTATTTATTTTTTTGGCAACCGTTTCCCCTCAGTTTATTAAGAAGTATGACTTCCAAAAGACAGTGAATCACTTGGCAAATTCTCAGGTACCCAGCTACTAAAGGCAACAGTTAATTAAATTTTTAGTTTACCATTTAAGTTCCCTTCACTTAAATAATTACAACTTTGGAAATTTCTGGAAATGATATAAAGTACATTTGTAGAAAGATTTTTTTAAAAAAATATTATTTTCTTTTGATAATGGGTCCCGTCAATATGAAATGTTTTAGAAAGGACTTTATTGGGCTGGTGTTGGTTTGTGTTGCAGTGGTGCTTTCCATAGCTGGTTGCTGAGTAGTCTTCTCCTGCTGTGGTTTCATAACCTTTGGAGACCATGGATCTCCTTACCTCATCAGCCCCTTACCCCAGAGTGTGCACAGTGTGCACAAGCACAAGCATTCCACGTGTACTTTTAACTAAACCTGCTTCTCACTGCCTTGTCATTCAAAAGCCAACCAGAAAACTGCTGTGTTGAAAGTGAAATCCTTCCTAATATGTGACAGTAGCTTCATCTTGCTGATCCACACCAAGATTCTTCAATTCATGGGTTTACATTTTAAATCTTATTCATATGACTGTGAGAACATGCAGGCACATGTGCCTTGGCTTGCTGGTGAAGGCCAGAGAACTCTTTTCAGAGGTGCTCTGTCTCTGTCTCTGTCTCTGTCTCTCTCTCTCTCTCTCTGTCTCTCTCTCTCTCTCTCTCCCTCCCTCTCCCTCTCCCTCCCTCCACACACCCCTTCCCCCCTTCGAGTTCTGGCAATTGAACTCAGGTTGGTCATCAAACTTGGTGACAAGCCCTTTTATCTGCTGACCGGTTTCACCAGCCTGTGTTTTCTTCACCTCATTTTATTTAATGTTGCATTTTACCTTTGATCATTACATAGTAGAAGATGAGAATAATCTAGATCTTATGTTGGAGGGAAAAAGCACAAGTTTCTTTTAGTTTAAACTTGGTTTCAGATTAAGGAATCTCATTTGATCTTGGACATGCTTTAGGTTCTAAAGAAAACAAACTCAGTTTCCCTTTGAGTATTAGGTGAAGATGGGGGTGAGGTATGTATTCTTGGGATCTGCTGTTAGGAAAGTGGCTCTCAGGAGAGGGACCCAGAGAACTAGGTTCTCATGTTAATGAGAGTAGTTGTGCCACCACTCAGTTGTGGTGGCCCAGAGCTCACATATGGGGACCGCGCAGGTCAGCATACAAATCCAGCCCAGTTGCTCATCAGCTGTAACCTTGAACACATTGCCTACCTATAATTAGGATCTAGCTCGCTAATAAGCTTATTTCCATGGAGGACTTGGTTTGTGCTTCAGAGGACGCTTGCTCTGCTACCTCTTATGCTGTCTTGATTGTGGTGTTACTGAGGAACAAAGAGCATCCATGCTTCTCACCAGCAGCGCTCCTATTTCCTGTCTTCAGACTCTAGAGCAGTGGTTCTCAACCTCCCTAATGCTGCATTCCTTAATACAGTGCCTCATGTCGTGGTGACCCCCAACCATAAAATTATTTCATTGCTACTTCATAACTGTAATTTTGCTACTGTTCTGAATCATAATGTAAATATCTGATATGCAGGATGTCAGGATATCCTGAGACCCACAGGTTGAGAACTGCTGCTACAGAATAACCTCAAGTGTTAGTGACTTACAGTTGTCACATTTCAATCAAGAGTTTTCCATCTGATTTCTCAGGGTTTGATTATTAGCAAAGGGCAACATGTTAAACTGTATCAAAGTTTGTCTCCAATGGTTAAAGTTGAGTTTGAGGAACCCAGAATAAGAGAGATTGCTAAAAGAAGAATAAAAATTAAACAGTGACCTGATACTTTGAATCCTCACACCTGGATGGTCTTGTGACAGAGCTGATGGTCCTGTGGGTGCTGAAAAGTGCATACTATTTCTTTGCTCTAATTTAAAATGTTTGATGAACCACACACTGCCAACCACTGCACCAATGGTGTCTTCGAGTCTGTTCTCATTGTGGTTTATAAAGTACTTGGAGCCACAGAGGAAAGAAAGAGGATGATTTGTGTGGTGCATTGATTAAGAAGACGATGAACTGACTGCTTGAGTACCTGCTTGAAGTGACAGCTTCAGGGTTACTGAAAGGATGGCTCCAGCCCTCCTGAAATGGGGAGGTAGCCTATCTGACCTTTCTTCATGTCCGTGGTAACTAGAGCCAGGTGATGACAATTGTAGCGTTCTGACAGTGCCCCTCCTGCATGTCCACCCATGCACATAACTGCCACACCTATGACTGTATACTTCCAAGATCCTTAGGGTGATTGATTCAGGTGGAATTCATACATGTCAGTCAGAAGGCCGCCTAAACACAGGAGAGCTAAGCCTGTGTATTTGCTATCAAGAAAAGCAGGCACACATATCTCAGTGCTAGTTTATATGGTAGAATAGTCGATAATGCAGGTTTCCTTGAGCTCTGAAGAGAGCACCTTGCCTTGGTATTTTCTTGTAATGCCCTTGTTTCATTCATTTTTTTCTCTTTGACCACATGGATCATTTGGAATATAATGTTCCCCCTTTCTGTCTTCTCAGTATCGTCAGTGAAGCAGGGGCCTCCATCTACAGCGTCAGTCCTGAAGCTAATAAAGAGATGCCCGGGCTGGACCCTAACCTGAGAAGTGCAGGTGAGCAGCCATGCTTCACCACATGGCATAGGATTGTGATAGTTTGGATTTGCATATGTGACAAACTAAATATCTTACATACCCATGAAAATGTAAAAGCAATGCCCCATGTATAAGACTGGGCACATTCATGTACATTAAACTAATACTAGGAATTTTGAAAAACGTGTTTTTAAATACCTGGCAGTACTCTAGAATTAGTGAAAATATAACATAAAAGTCTTATTAAAATTAAATTCCAGAGTTCAATAATAAGGAAAATAGAATTATTATAAAATGGTCATCATAGTATTTCCTTGGCAACATAAAGATAAAAAATTCAGTGCCAGTGTGTAGATTTTTGTTTTAATGCAGAAAGCTTGGCAATTGACTGTTCTTTCTTATTGAGGCTGTCGTGGTAATGCATTGCTTTAAATAGCGTGCCTTTCTTTTATTTGTACTTGGTTGCTTTGGTGTCTATGATATGGATTAGTGAAAATTTGTAAGTGGACTTAGAGACTTAGAGACATCTAGGGAAATTAATGGGTATAAATACAAATTTAGAGTAGTTTTTTATGTAATGGAGAATAGCTTTGTTACTTTCTTAAAAGTTAATTTAAGTTTTATTTTTTTCCTTTATTTTCACTGACTTTTTAGGTTTTTTAACTCTATACCTGGAAATAATTTTGCTTTGATACAAATCATGATGTAGATAAAGGAATGGAGGCTTTTGATAAAGGAATATTTGAAGTTTCTTTTGTATGAATTCTTTTCATACAATATATTTTGATTGTGTTTTCCCCTCCCCCAGTTCCTCCAAAATCCTCTCTACCCTACCCACCTGACTTCATGTTCTGTCTTTTAAAAAAACAAGCAAAAAATAAACACACATACAAACACAAAAACGCAAAAGTTGTTTCCAAATATGGAACTCAAAATAAGCAAAAGATTAAAAACATGTTCAAATACAGCAAAATGAGACAAAAAGTCTATAAAAATAATGTTTGTTTTATTTTGGCTAACTACTCTTGGGTTTGGGGACCTGCTCTGAAGTACAGTTAATATACCCAGTGAGATTTTGTTGGAGAAAACTGATTTTCCTTTGACAGTAGGTATCAATTGCAGATAGCTTCTAGGTTAGGGGTAGGAGTCCATGTCCTTTCAGTGCCAGAGCCCAATCTGGCTTGAACCTGTGCAAGTCTTGTAAGTGTTGACACAATCTCTGTGCATTCGTATATACATCAGTACTGTTGTGTTTGGAAGACACTTTCCTTGGAATAATCCATCACCTCTGGCTCTTACAAGACATCCTATTTAGGACTCTACACATTGTCCAGTTGTGGGGCTCTGTTTTACTCCCCATCTACTGCAAGAAGAGGCTTCTCTGATGAGAGTTGAAGAAGACACTGATCTATGAGCATAACATTAGGAGTCATTCCATTGCCATATTCTTTTAGCAGAATAATACTACTAGGTTTTCCCCCAGGGCCCATGACCTACACAGTCTCAGGTTCTTGGTTACATCAGCAGTGTCAGGTTTGGGCTCCATTTCATGGAGTGGGCTTTAATTGAACCATGAAGTATTTTGGTTACTCCTATAATGCTTGTGCCACTGTCACACCAGCAAGTCTTGTAGTGACATCACTGTTTTAGGTAGCAGTGTTTGTAGTTGAGAGATATTATTATCTTTCTCCTCTAGTAGTATTCAGGGTGCCTTCCAGTACCATGAACACCAGTCAGAAGGGGGCAAGCTTCTAGTTAGACTGCAGCGGGACTTCTCCGTGTTAGATGGCATATGTAAGTGTTGTTTTCAGCAATAAGGCCTTACCATGAGGTTGTGGAGAGTAACCAATAGCCTTGGCAGTAGCCTGTGATGTTTGGAGGTTTCCATGGGACCCCTTTGACCAATGAGTCAACAATTGGTGGCAAAAGATGTCTTGGCACATTGTTGTAACCCCTTTTATTTGGTGACTCCTTTTAGATTCCTTTCTTATATGTATGTGTTACGAAACTTCTACTGCAGTAGGTTTCCATGCTTCCAGGTTTCTTGATCATGAATTGTGATGGTGTGGAAAGGGATGTGGTTAGAGCCAACAGGTAGCAGACTCAGTTTACCCTATAGTCATATGTAAACCACCCAAGTGTTTTTACTAGCCAGTATAGCATGGTTGCGTTCTCGTAATATTCTTACATCCATTTATTACTACCAGTCTACTTTTAATAAGAATATTTAGATGTGTCATATTGATAACAATGAAAGATTATTTGAAGCAAATATCCCCATACTCTTTAAAGCAAGAAGCACTGTACCTATGTATTATTTAAAGAATGAAGAGATATTAGTGTGAGAAAAGGAACAAAATGTTTTGTTTATTTTTCCAAATCTGTAGTCCTTCGTATGTGTGTTTTAATAATGCCTGGGAGTCTTAGCCAGGTGTGGTGGCTCATGCCTATCATCCCAGCATTTAGAAGGCTAAGGCAGGAGAATTATCATGCCACATAGTAAGTTCCAGCCAAGGCCACAGAAGGAGACCTTGTCTCAAAATAATAATAAATAATGTCTGTGGTCCTGCTGATACAATTAGGCCTGAAGTATTGCATTCATTTCTTTTTGCATAGAAAGAAAAAGAGAGAGAACTTTGAAACGTAATTAAATTGGAAGTGTGTACTAGGGGGATAGGATTAAATATTTGTATCATGAGGAACTAACCTGCTATAACCTGAGCACTGCTTTTCACATTAAGTCACAGTTGTTTTCTGATTCTGATTCTGTTTTCCTCCCCTCCCCTTCCCCCCACCCCAGTTTCCATAGCAAGGCGTGTTCAAGATCCATTAGCTGAGCTAGTGAAAATTGAGCCGAAGCACATTGGAGTTGGAATGTACCAGGTAAAGCAGTGTGGATCATTCAAGTTTTGAAATCCATCAATACAAAGAGTATGCCTAAGCCTGGCATTGTACTTAACCATTACTGGAAGTAGCTTTTCAAAAGTTACAGTTGATAGGAAGGTAGTTAAAAGTTTCAACTGTCAGGGAAAGAGAGAACACTTTCTGACTTATCTTGATGGGGTTTCAAAATTGGCTAACGCCAGATTTAAACATTTTGAAAATAGGCCAGGCATGGTGGTGTAGAAACATCAGGTACAACTAGGTACTTGATTTGGAGAGTTTTTCAAATCTTTTCAACACTGTTCTAAAAATGGAGGGATTGTGGACCATTGGACTATGTGGCTCTTTGTTTAAATCAGAATGAACTCTTGCTTGTTTCTGGTCTCCCAGGAGAAGCCTTTGGTATTTACTGTGACTTGTTATGCATTCATTTCTATTTGGTCATTATTCGTTTTTTGGTTTTGACCCAGAACAGTCTAAAGTCTTCTACTTGTTTCTCCAATGCTGTCATCATTGTGGTTTTTGTAGATACTGTATTTTATAGATACTGAGGTTGTAGTTTTGCACTAAATGATTGAGGGCTGCAATAAACCTTGGCAACTTGGCTCCATGGTGACATAAGAATATATAGAGAGCTTATGGTATATGGATTCCAGAAGACTCGTCAAAAGTATTCTCCTTTTTGTTGAAATTCCTTCCTAAACTGTTCGTGTGATGTACTCTTGAACTTAACTACTCAGGAGGCTGAGACAAGAAGGGTCCTTAAGTTTATAAGTTTGAGCCCAGCCTGGCCAATATTCAAGACTTTGTCCTACCACACCCCCTAAGTAGTCCTTGTTATTTGTTTTGGTTTTTGGTAACAGGGCCTTACTGTAGCCTAGGCTGGCCTGGAAGTTAGGTAGTCTCGGATGGTCTCAAAGTCATGGAAATCCTCCTGCCTCAGTTTCTTAAGTGCTGGAAATTAGGCAATCCTTCTTAGATCTGAAATATAGTATTTCCCACTGGAATTTTCACGGGATTTGAGCAATGAAACATTAGTCATGGCACCTGTGACTACCAGAAATGGAAGAAACTCTAGAAATCATTCAGCCCCACCCCATCATTTAGCAATATAAGCAATATAACAAACAATGTTCTGTGCCCCAGAATCACATGGTGGCAAAGTTTGGATTGGCACATCACATACATTGAGATTCAACTGAGAGTATGAGCATTTTATGCTGGCTGGTGGTAGAGTTAACTACTCCTGTGATGTTTATTATTGATGGGGTTGAGAGAGTCTTTGAGACTAGTTATATACCAGGATATGTCTGTGGGTACACTTCCAGAGAGGGCTAATGTGGGAAAGGTGTGTTCTTTCTGTGGGTGACACCACCTAATAGACTAGAGTACAGAAAAAGGAGTAGAGAAGGGAGGCCCAGGCAGCATTTGCATGCTCTCCCCTGTTCCTGGACACCATGAAAGGTGGGTCACATTGCTCCACCATTCTTTCCCTTTCGTGGTCTACTGGAATTCCGGAAACCTTGAGCCAAATAAATCTCTCTTTCTTTAAATAGTTTTCCCTGGATATTTTTCACAGTGGTAAAAGTCTGACTAACACAAATGTTTAACTGGGGTTGTTCATTTGGAATGATAGTCATTAAGGGGTGGCTAGAAATGCCTGGTATCTAAAGAGTGATTTTGTAACACATGCAGTTGAAGTTTTGGAACACCTCAAGGTCATAGAAAAGAGAAATGTTTCAGACTTATGGAACCTAGGAAGCCTACCATGTCTAAGTCATTAGTGGAAGACTGACCTCCAGATTGGAATTCAGAAATAGTCTTTAGTTTCAAAGGGCTTTCAGTTCATTCCAACAGCACTTGAGAAGTCACAGCAGGATTTTAATCAAGGTAATGGATGATTTGTGTTTAAACATTAACTTGTCAGGTCTAGTGAGAATGAATAAAAGGAGTCAAGGAGAAGCAAGAGAACTAATTAAAGTAGCTTTTTACTAGTCCATGTGAAAGATAAGGGTGCTTAGACAACGTTGGTGACAGTTAACTTGAAAAGGAATCTGTTTTGTAGGGAATACTTGGTAAGTAGGGCAAGAGAAACTGGTAAGCATTTGTTGGAAGACTTGTTCTGATATATGTTTTATGCCTTGGTATAGAAACTTTACAGATGAAGATCATTAGTTCCACCTTGGACATGTTGATTTGAGATGCCTAGGAGATAATCCGAGGAGAGATTTACCAAATTGGGTCTACTTGTCTGAGACTAAGAGAAGTAGTCCTACTAATTGAGATGGCACATAGTTTAACAAATGATGAAAGTGATTAAGATGCTAGACTGAACCCACTGTGTTTTTTTAACAACCCCCAGTGTATCCACATCTCACATCCCATGAGATGGCAAAAAAGGTATATGCACATGAGTCTGTAGCCAGGGAAATGCTTATTTCTGTGAGTAGCTGCAAAAGTAAGAAGGGATCCTGTCAGTGAGTAGAACTTGGGAATTTCTGAAAGATATTAAGCACAAATAATAGTATAATTATGTAATAATTATAATGTAACATGATAATAGTATATTATACAGTAATAGTATAATAATAATAGAAAAAGCCTTGTGGAGCTATAGCCCAGAACACATGCAAGTCATTTATTAACACAAAAGCGTGAAGCCAAATACATTAGGGAAATTATTTGCCATATATGTTGTATGATAATTACATATTTTACTTTTAAAAGTTTGGGTTATTTCCTTGTTGATTTGTAGACATTTATATGTTGTTTTATTTGAAACATTTAGTGAAATATATTTAGAGCCTGTCTGTTGTTTCATGGCATCACTAAAAGTTTAGGCTTTTGAGCCACATAAACTTGCAAACGCCTATCATCCCAGATACTAAGATGACTTATAAGAGTACATTGCTTCCCTAGGTACTGTAGCAGGACCTTGTCTCAAATACAACAACAACAACAAATGAGGTTTTTAAGGGAGATTTATTAACACTAGAAGTCATTCTTGATGTGATGTTTTCAAGTTACACAGAGTTGATAATGCAGTGGTAACTGAGTTTCAGAAGGCAGAAGGCAGCTGTGAACTTCTGTGGAAGACAATTCCTGGCAGGCTGGATATGATGAGAGATTTTCAAATTTTCTATATCCCAGCCTATGGACCACATAATGTTACATCTTTGTACAATGTATTTCTACTACAATCATAGTAGGACTGACTTTTCTTTTACTTGGGACCACTCTGTGATTTTGATGTAAATTTCATCCCGCCTTAAAACACGAGACCAGCCATATAAACATTGCCAACTGGGAAAATGAAAGGTGTTCGCAGAAAGTTAGATGAAATAGCAGAACTACGGTGTTATTTCAGTGGAAACTAAGATGCTTTTGGTTTAATGACAGCTGAAATCCTTGCGGCAGTGCTCCAATTCTTGTCTGAGAAAATGAGGAGAGTTGATTTTAAAAACATGCCTGTCATTATTTCTGGAGAGCAAGGCAGCCACTGTGGTCGAATGACAACATATCCTTGATTGACCCCTAAAGACTTTGCTGGAAAGTGGCTTGGTGTTACTCCCAAGAAAACACTCCCGGTCGAGAGGGGGATGACGCAGGGCTGTCCGGGTTGGACTGTGTGGGATGTGGGGAATGATGGCTTAACTTGGCCTTGTCATACCCTGAGCTTAAGCTTAAATAAGTTGGATTTACTGGTTCTTTATTCCTTCTTGGGACTGTGCTCTTCCACTTTCCCACTCATTAGCACCTACGTTTGGTAAAGCGTCTGTCCAGTCAAGTAGCAAGGAGTTGCAACAGCCCTCTTTCCTCCCCACTTTTGCCTGTTAGATCATTTGGTGACGTTACAGAATGAAATGGTTGTCCAAACCATCCATTCCTCACTCCTGAGGATCATGAAGGGTCACTGTAAAAGGAAAGTCTCCTTGCCATGGTGCTGCCTGTCTTCTTGGTAGGACCTCACAGGTAGCAATTTGCATGTTCTCCTCTCCTCATCTGTGGGATCAATTCTGAGTAAAAACAAACAAGTAAATTAAAACAAAACAGACAGCTCTTCATGGAGAAAGCACCTGGACACCTCTAGTTAACCTCCAGGGCCACTTACTAGGTGTAATGCTGTTTAGGTCTATAAAGGTAAGTAAGGCTTCTCATCTTTTTGATGTCATTTGCTTAGCTATTTTAAAACACATTTGAACTCTCGAGTAATGTATCATTATAGAAGGAGACTCCTTTGAGTCAAGGAGTAGCTATCTGGGTGACTTGTTTAGGTTGTTACTGTTAGAGTAATGTATCATTATAGAAGGAGACTCCTTTGAGTCAAGGAGTAGCTATCTGGGTGACTTGTTTAGGTTGTTACTGTTACCAGTGTTAGTGCGGATAATAAGACAGAGGTGAAACAGAACACTTCCCAAACCAAGGCATTAGCCACAGTGCTGACTGGTTTGTGTAAGCTTAACACGAATCTAGGGTTATCTGGGAAGAGGACCTTCAATTGAAAAAAAAATGCCTCGCTTAGACTGGACTGTAGACAAGTTTTCTTGATTAATAATTGGTGTGGGAGGGACCAGTTTACTGAGGTATGCCACCCCTGGGCGGGCAGGTGGTACCGGATTCTATAAGAAAGCAGACTGAGTAAGCTATGAGGAGCAGGGCAGGAAGCAGCACTCCTCCATGGCCTCTGCTCCAGGCTCCTGTCTTGGTCCCTCCTAATAATATACTGTAACCTCTAACAAAAATAAGCACGCTTCTCCCCAAGTTGCTTTTGGTCTTTATCACAGCAGTAGAAACCTAACTAAGACAGCTGTCTAGGTAAATTCCTTGCCAAAATGATTTTGCAGTCTCATCCCTTGGCTAAGTAGGCTGTCCTGCTTACAGATTTACAAAAGACATTTAAAAGAGCCTGGTCGTCAGAGCTTTCTTCGATTATGATTTAACTAAATGTAAACAAGTAGTTGACCTTGACACAGTGTGAGCCAAACTCATATATTAGAATT